TCCTCTTAGGATAATATCACACAAGGTGCCTTCATGTTTCCCCCGAGCGATCTTGACTATGTCATCTGCATACCAAATGCAGTGTATTCCCGCTAGAGTTAATTCATCTAGTAGTTCATCCACCACCAAGCTCCACAGCAAAGGGGAGGTTAATCCACCTTGTGGATTTCCTTGCGTTGTTTTAACAGCTACAGTTTTGGTGCCCATCTGAGCCTCTGCTGGTCGTGTTGACAGCATTTCCCAAAACCAGCGAATAATAGTTCTGTTCACCCCTCTTGTTTCTAGAGATCGCCGCTCAACCACCTTTATGTGGCTTTATGTTATTTAGCTTAGATATATTATCTTCATTTCAGTAGTATACGGAGCTATTATTATTATTAATTTGGATTAACATCATATTCTTTGCTGTTGTTAATGTGATAGCTATCATCACTCTTTCCGTAACATTGTACTAAATAAATTTTATGCTTTTCTAACATTTTAAAACAACAAAAAATATGATATTAATTAAAATTCTATGAATAACAGTTACACGAAATTATATTACCATAGAAACGCGTTTTGATTTTTAGGACTTCCACCATATTTTCATGTTTTTCTTAATTTTCTCTAAAACGGTATGGAAAATTGGGAAAATATAGACGGCATTTTTTTTATGAAGAATGCATTTTTCTCAAAATGTTCAAAATGTCAATAATAAAAAAGGTTTTCCTCTTGTAAAGAAAATCCGGGGACATCTGTATATTATAATAATATTTATCCGATACCTGTATTCCGCACTAGCAGATGTTCTGCAGATAGCGTTATGCAGAAAAAGCCTGCATAAATGCATACCAATCGCTTAGTTGAGATATTGCTGGGAGCTGTTTCTTTATTTCGATTTTTCGCAATATATTTTTATAACGTTTAATCATTGGGATGAAAATTGGCGTCTGGGAGTTTTTTGACATGAGAAATTTGATTTTGGTGTCAATATGACTCCTACTAGTAGAGGGCGCCACCTACATGTGTTTTAACTTTTTTGAAGCGTAATAACTTTTTGTCCGTTCCTGTATAAAACTACCGAGCGAAAAAATATACATCTCAGTAACTTTATATGTAAAAAATCTCTTTGTAAAAATCGCTACGAGCAACCGTTCTTAAGATATTTAGAATGGAAATAGACAATAGACAATACATGTCATTATTGACGAAAAATAAACACGTTGAGTAGATAGTTATTTCACTGAAATGATAAATTTGATAAATTTTTATTTTTTTAAATTAATCATATTTTTTTCTGCAAAACATTTTTGGCACAAAAACATTTCAAATTTATGATGTCAGTCTTATAACTATTTAGTCAACATGTTAAATTTATGTCAATGATGACAAGTATTGATAATTTCGATTCCAAATATCTTGAAAACCATTATTCGTAGCGATTTTTACCAAGAGACCTTTTTCACGTAAAAAACGTCGTAAATGTATACATTTTTACTCAGTAATTTTATACAGGTACGGACAAAAAGTTATTACTCTTCAAACCAGCTTAAAATATGTAGGTGGCGCCCTCTACTAGTAGGAGTCATATTGATATCAAAATCAAATTTCTCATGTCAAAAAACTTCTAGACACCAAGTTTCATCCAAATATTAACGTTACTTCCGAAATTATTTGAAAAAATCGAAATAAAAATGAAACTTCTACACCCTGTATCTTCGAAACTAAGCATTTTAGGACGTATATTTATACGAACTTTTTTACTTATTTTTATCTGCAGAATATGTCACCGAAGTTTCCCGAATACAGTTCGGACCACCCTGTATACGTAGATTATTCTAATATACAGGGTAGTCCGAATTGTATTCCGGAAACTTCGGCTGTATATTCTGCAGATAAAAATAAGTAAAAAAGTTCGTATAAATGAATGTCCTAAAATGCTTAGTTTCATAGATACAGGGTGTAGAAGTTTCATTTTTATTTCGATTTTTTCCAAATAATTTCTGAAGCAACGTCAATATTTCGATGAAAATTGGCGTCTGGGAGTTTTTTGACATTAGAAATTTGATTTTGATGTCAATATGACTCCTATTTCTAGGGGGCGCCACCTACATATCTTTTAACTGTTTTGAAGAGTAATACATTTTCGTCTGTACCTGTATAAAACTATTGAGTGAAAACATATACATTTCTGTGACTTTTTACGTAAAAAAGGTCTTTTGGTAAAAATCGCTACGAGAAATGCTTCTCGAGAAATTTGAAACGGAAATCATCAATACCTGTCATCACTGACATAAATTAAACATGTTGACTAAAATGACTAAATAGTTATTAGACTGAAATCATAAATTTGAAATGTTTGTGTGACAAAAGTTCAACAGAAACTGTTTTATCGTCATTTTTTCGAAGAAAAATTTATAATTAATTTAAAAACATAAAAATTTCCCAAATTTATTATTTCAGTCAAGTACCTATCTACTCAACATGTTTATTTTTACGATTTTTACTAAGAGATATTTTTTACGTAAAAAGTCACGAAAATGTATATTTTTTTACTCAGTTATTTTATACAGGTAAGGACGAAAAGTTATTACTCTTCAATCTATTAAAAAACATGTAGGTGGCGCCCCCTACAAATAGGGGTCATATTGACATCAAAATCCAAATTTCTCATGTCAAAAACCTCCCAGACACCATTTTTCATCCAATTATTGACGTTAATTCAAAAATTATTTGGAAAAAATCTAAATAAAAATGAAACTTCTACACCCTGTATTTCCGAAACTAAGCATTTTAGGACATACATTTATACGAACTTTTTTACTTATTTTTATCTGCAGAATATGCCGCCGAAGTTTCCGGAATACAGTTTGGACCACCCTGTATATTATTATTGACACTGATATGAGGCAATGTGTAGTAATGCACTGAAATTCTTTTACAAAAACAGGAAAGGTAATAATAGATGTTCGAAAGGTAAGCATAGGGGAGACTTAAAAATGAAATCTCTGCATTGTCATCAGATTTGCTAAAAAGGTTGGTGAATCTCAACCTCGGGGAGCATACTGAGACTTTAGCGTTTTAAAATGCTTGTCAATGATCCGTGCTTAAACATCCTCTGCAAGCTCTGCCATTTGCTGAAGACATTGGTTTGCTAATATCACCCTTCATGGATATTGAAGATAATGGCAGGCTGGATTATGAGAAAATTTGTAATTGGTTGTGTCAAAATAAATTACTCCTAAATAGATAGAAAACAAATGCTATAAATTTTAAGTTAAAATGTATAAAACTGAAGTTCTTTAAAGTTATCTACTGAATTTACTATTAATTTAACAGAAAATGCAAAATTTCTTGGACTGTGCATGGATGACACACTTATTAATGTCTGCCTATAGAAAATGTTTAAAAAAAAGGTTAAACTGTGTCTGTTATAGTAAAAAAAAATTGAGTTTGATTGATTGACAGACATTAAAAATAATATATCATGCTATAATTTTTAATATCTATGTAAATAGTACTCAAATGTCTTTGGATAAAAACAAGTTAATTTACGGAATATTTCGGACATTATCCAAGAAACTTTCAACCCAAAAATACTTTAAAATAAATTATTGAGTTTACAGCGTCCTCTCTGTACCAAATTCGTTTAAATTTCTACCCTCGTTTCAAAGCACACTGATGACTAACTTTCGAGCGTATTTCGAACAGAGTAAACTAACGGAAACATTGTTACCTCAATCTGGTCCGCTTTTACTTCTTCTTCGGTGCAGGTCAAACTTAACGACTTCTGTAATCCGATATAAATATTAAAGCGCTCGTATCTGGTAACGGCGATCGAGAGTGGCACGAAAGTGATGTTGCCATTTTTTATTCATCGGTGTGATTGAAATGGTGGCCTTGTATAGGAATAACGTCTAAGCTTGCTAAAGCCCGGTCTAGACATAACGTTTTACCCAGAGTCTCCATACAAGTTTCCTGGATAAATAAGCTGCATGAGTACAAACATAGTGGAGCATTTCATCTCGCCGCGATGCTCGCCAAGATGCTCGACTTTTAACCAAGAATTCTGTTATTCTTCGTTATAGTTATACATTGGTATTATGATATTCTGGTATATAGTATATTGTCGATTTTAGAACAAACTAATCGTTTCTATCTTATTTTTTATTAGAATATAGTCATAATTAAGAGGGTTACTGTAACCGTGTTAGAAAAATAAGTTAATTAAGGGCTTATTTTTTCTATTTATTATAATTTTGCTAATAACATTGGTTTGAAAAACGATATCAAGATGCGGGTTTCGCTGACATTTTAAGCTTTTATTACTCTTTAGTATCAGCTAAAATTATATATACTATCGCATTTAATTTTTTTGAAAAAACGCATAATGTTTGTTAAATTTTAAGACAGCGCCCCCAGCGGCTACGTTCAAAATCTTATTTTTATTGTTTATGTGGTATAATATAGATCCATTTAAAAAAAATCAAGATGGCGTCGTATCTGTCAAAATTGACGTTTTAAAAAATTTTAATGTAGAAAATCGGCATCCTCGCGAAAAATTACATTAAAATATCTTTTTACTATCTTAAAATAGAGAAGAGCAAAATTTTAAATTGGGTGAGACACTTAAAATGATTCTGGAACAATTCATTTTTAAATCCACTGTATATCGAAAACGGCAAGTGCAACCTATACTAAACTATATATTTTTGAAATTAGCTAAAACATGTCTACCGGACCATGCTAAAATATGTGGGGGTTTCCATTTTAAAAATATCAAGATGGCGTCGTATCTGTCAAAATTGACGTTTTTAAAAATTTTGGTGTAGAGAATCGGAATCCTCGCGAAAAATTACATTAGAAAATCTTTCTATTATCTTTAAATACCAAACAGGAAAATTATAAATCGAGTGAGACACTTAAAATGATGTCCCTGTACATGTGCACGGTGCTAGATAGATCTTAGCGCTAGATAAACTATAAATAGTAATGAATAGTAACTACATTTTACTTACTTAACGTTAATATTTTTGGTGTATGTGCTTGCTTCCGAACACTTTAATCTGAAACAAATAAAAATAATTATTTGACTAAAGGCATAATTCATATACACAAAATCTGAACATCTTTAATATTAAAGCCCGGTTGACACGGTACTAGTGTACTTGATCCAAATATACTTTTACCGTGTGAGTGGGGCTCAAATATACATATAAACTAATAAAATTGTTAATAATTAACTATGGAAAGAAAACTAGCAAAGACGTCCACTTCCATTTACGCGGGTTGATTGGTAGAAACATTGGATAAAGTGTATGGCATCGTGCCTTTACACGAGTCAAATCAACTGATGAAGTCACTTGAATTCATGTCGTATGGATGTAATATGACCGTCTAAACCCGACAATCATGTCAATTAATTACACAAGTTGATTCATGCCTCAGTTGAATACGTTTTATCTTTTGGCGTTCAGTATTATTGTAAAAGCTGTTTTGAAAATGGCGGCAAGTAGTTGGTTAGAAGAAAACTCTGTGAAATTTATTAATATTTATAAAAAATATGAGTGCATATGGAACACACAGAATCCGAAATACAAAATTAGGAAAAGAAGAGTAATTCCTACCTTAAGCCAAGTACGAATGGAGATACAAATTAATGTGTCTTGTTTTTTTAATTCTGGATGTAACTTTTTCAAACAAAAAATAATTTATTAAATTAGTTTGCATTCCCCTTTATTTTTTTTGTAATCTCTAGGAATTCCTAATTACAACTTACGTAGTAAATCATTATTATGCACCATAAGTAGATCTGCAGCTAATTCGTTTTCTGTCCATATTCGACATTTACGCCTAGTCTTTTATGCAATAAGCTTTGTGTTAATTCTGTTGACAAAATTTTGACAGTTTAAAGTACAGCCGATTGTAAAGTGCCCATAAGGACAATATAAACACTATTTGGCGCTATTCTTACAACGCAACGGTCGCGACCCAAAGCTTTTGAAAATTTCGGAGCGGTTCGACTTTTTCCGGAATTCTATCGCCAAATATTATTTATTCAAATTTATTATTACATTAGAAGCATACAAGAAACTTTATTTTATATGGAGGGGACATGTATGAAATACCTATGAAGCATTGGAAACCGACGTTATACCACGATCCACGATAGTTTTTGCAGTTCACAGTATAGCTTTTTAAATTTTTAATACCACATTTTCACAATTATCACGGGTTAGAGTAAATAGAACTTAAATTAAACTCACAAGATAGCAATAATTACTTTCAAAATGGATTTTTGAAAAAACACTTTTCGGATTTTTTTCAATGAGAGCGGTTTAGATTTTGAAAGATTTTATAATTTGTGAAGATTCTGACTTTGACACGAGATATGGACAAGAAAAAATTATCTCTGTTTTTGTTTGCGGTTGTTCTCAGCAACCGCTATACCAGCGCCAGATCGCGTACAACGGTCGCGACCCAAAATTTTGACGGGCATTCCAATCTAAATTTATTTCCTTTATCTATGGTACAGCTTTACGTACTGTTACCATTTTGAATCAAATAGGTAGTTCTTGTAGATACAAGTAGATTTTCTAGGTAGGAAGCTTCTTGATAAGGAAAATGCTTTCAAGCAAGTTGGATTCCTGTTACCCGCTTGATCAATTCACTTGACTCGTGAAAACGAGACTTAATATAACTTAAAAAAAATATAAATAAGTTTTCAAAAAAAATCTTTTGTATTACTGTGATAACGGAAACTTTTCAGACTATCCACGTATATTGAATTGACTAATATTTTAAGATTAAAGCTTCCTTCAGAACCTCCAAATTAGTGGTTTCAATTAGCGTAGAAGTTTGTTTCTCTAATGTGAGCATTCACAATGTCAAAATTAGTGGTATAAATTTTCAACTAGTGGAGAGAGAGAAAAGGTTACCAAACTATTAACTTTTCTACTAATTAGGCTTCAAAATTTGCAAGGAATGTCATTTTGGCCTTTGATTCTCATCCGTCAAGAGAAAATGTTGTTAGAAATCAAGTTGTTTTTAGCTTATAAACAATAAATGATATTAGGCTTTCTTTCACTATGGATACAACTAAACAAGTTAGCTACCGCAAGCTCTTGCTAGGATATTCTATTAATTTTAATTGTATTTTTAGACATTGTGAATGATCGTAAACTAAAAAGTATAAAGTGTAATTGAAACTACTAATTTATTCCATTAATTGCGAGGTTCTGAATGAGGCTTAAGAGATCAATCATTTATTAGATATTAAACCGGAACGTAAAAACTATTGCACTCTATAAAAGGCGAATTGCATAACAATTTCAACCACTCCACAAGCTCCCGCAAAAATACCCGTCACGTTTTGGGCTTGGGAACGTGTTTAAAACATGATAAAACCTATTATACGAAGTTGCAAGGAATGAATGTAGCGACTGGATCGGCCCGCCTTACAGTTTCATTTTGCCTGGGAAATTTACAAGATGTGTGCGGATAAATTGAACAAATTGGATTTCCACGTGTGGAGAGATTAGACGGTCCTTCTTAAAGGCATTCGGTAAATGGAAATTGACGAGTCTTTTAAAGGAAATATTTTAAAATATCTTTTCTCGTCTAATACGCTGTCGTATCGTATTTTTTTAGAGTTTTTTTTTTAACTTTATTGATGTTTCTGCTGTATTTTTTAAGCTGAAAAACTAAAATTTTGAAATATACTATTTCAGATAAGGTGTTTATACGAAGGCCTCATATGTTTATACACAAGAATCAAATATTAAGCGATATCTCCCATGTATCACGTCATACAGTAATCGTAGCATGCACTTTTTGACCAGTTGGGTTCCCATATTAAGATAAGAGAAATCCAACAGAAGCATGTTTAATATGGTTCCGTTTTCTTTAACAAAATTAATACATGTAAAAAAATTGTGTGTGCACCACGTGCGCATATTTGAAGTGAAACTTTTTGGTAACAGGTATTAAATTGAAGGATAAAAAAATATATACAGGGTGTTCCAGAAATAAGTGCAAGTATTTTAACTGGTAGTATAGTTCAACCCCAGAAAAACGCTTATGAGGTTTTTGGGCGAAAATGTTTTTTTTTGAAAATCCCGAATTTTTTGAAATTTTTTTTTGAGAATTTTTTTAGTTTTTATTTAAAAAAAATAAATTCTTGTTAATATGGCAACATAGGTAGTAGGTGTAATTTACAAGAAAGAAAATCCAGAAAAGATCCAGTGGTTTTCAAAATTCTAGCAAAAAATCATTTTTTTGGAAATTTTCAAAGTAAAATAACTCTGTTATTTTGGACTTATTTGAAAAACGATAAAGAGAAAATATGTTTCTTTTATCGAGATCTACCACCCCTTAAAATACTTGTACTTATTTCTGGGACATCCTGTATATCCTTCAAATATATATTTTTTATGAATGCTTTTTATAAACTTCAAAAAAATTAGAGTTAATATAAAACCGTATACTATTCTAACTTTATAATTTTATAATGTTTATTAATTTTTATTAAAAAACGATAACTCTCTGCATCTATATCTCTGACTACTACACTACTACTTGTGCTACTACTAACTGCTACTAACTAACAATTTGTTATGTGTGATCTGCGATCTGTTTTTGTTTAAATGTTAATTTATTTTTAAATTCATGTTAATCGCTAGGGAACCAGTAAACTCATAAAATATGTATTTCTTTTGCATAATCGAAATTGTCACTCTAAATTTTACATAACCAAATTGTCACTCTAAATCGCTGCCTATTTTTAGACATATGTCACTTGTCTTATTCAATTCATTATTCGAATTCTCAGAATGTTGTTAACAAAAGTTCCATCTTAAAATAAAATTTTAATCTATCACAATTGTTTATCTCCGTCATTTACAGGATTAATAATACAGAAATGAAAGCTCAATTACAAATAATTCATTATTTATAGTGATTTCTCTCTTCTCTCTCTCTTCAGTCCTTCACTCTACGTGAGAGTATGGTGACATCATGTGTTGATTCCCCTCACTTCCTCAGACCAAGTTGTTCGACACTGCGTATGTGAAGCTTCGGGGAGGTTGTAGCCCACTAGGGTTTTGACTTGGCCTACCCACCTCTTAAGTGACCTTCCACGTGATCGTCTTCCCTCTACCTTCCCCTCCACCATCAGTTACTCAATTGAGGTGCCACTCAATTTATAGTGGTTTACACTTTACTTTACTTTACTTTATAAGAATATTTTGTTAATTATTAGTTTGAAATAAATATGACAGTCTTCCAATGAAAATGCATGTTACTAACTCCAAATTCTAATTCTGAGCTTGCAAATGAGCTAGATGCTTTACCTAGTCCGTTATTAAGCTAAAAACCTATCGATGAAAATATGCATTCAAATTTACTACACATCAAGGTTGGTACAGTATCAAGTTTATTATAGTGATTCTTTTACCCACGTATGGCACAGATCGTTACCCAGTTAGATCGTTCCACAAGCTTATTTTTCCTCGGGGTAGATTATCACGAGATAGCGGGGTTAGATTGTTTTACAAAGGGGGTAGCTGTGGCAACACTGCCGCTATCACTTTTCCTCTCACTAGCTCGCGCGTCACGGCCGTCTCGCGATCGTCATTCAAGGCAGCGTGTCACTTCCAACGCGCGTAAAGAAGTTTCACTTCAAAAAATCTAAATAAAGATAATGGACCAATTCCTCATAATGGACCTTCCTCTCTTTTCGTAGTTTCCGTGCTGCTCTAGTCCGGGTAATTTATCGTTAACGCCTCGATTAATTCTATCTCGCTTCACTGATTTTGTCACTCTTGGTGATTACCAACTGACAAAGACCACCTATATTTTTAAATATTTAACATTCTGTAACTTTAAAACTATGCATTTCCGCGACCATGTTTATAGGAATTTCTTTTCATATTTTTATGAGGAATCAATGAGTACTTAACTAACACTGTCGCAAGCTATAACATTAATATTATATATAACATTAACATTTTTTAAAGATTGCTATTAGTTTTAGATTAAGGCAAATTAATAAAAATTGTGTGCATCT